GCTGGTTTTCATCTTCGGTCTGCTGGTTTTTAATCCTCAGGAGTGCTCTTCGAGCGGCCGTTTTCGGTCTTCGTTTCTTCCTTATCCGCCCGGATTGCCTCACTCACTGGTTGGATGCTCCTACTCGGTATTATCGTCCATGTGAGTTATATTGATGTCCTAGTAGTGTAATGTGTTGCCACCCTCTAGAATTATGGTGGCTTCTAACTCCGCGACTTATTTTCCTTTCAAGTTATCCAAGACTGAGAAACAGAGGATTTGTGGGGTGATGGAAGACTGCTATTCGAAGGGCCTGCCCCCCGAAGAGTATGCTCCGAGGATCGTCGACACAGGCACGGAATTTGTCCGTGTGGCTGCCAACAAAGCTCTATACGAAATCCAAGTGGAGTGGCTCAGGGAACATGCTGTCTCGGTTCAATTTGGTCTGTACCTCCCTCCCATCCTCAATGAAGAATCGTTTTGTGAGGACTTCTGAGGATGGATGGGCATACTTGAAGGAAATCAAGGCCCCTCCATGGCGGGGTGCATTTCGTTTGAGGAATGGAACCTTGTCACCTACGTGGTGGGTGTAAAGAGATCGCCACGGGGATGCTGAGGAAAGGTACACTGTCAGACAAAAGAGTGAAGTATGGGAAAACATACGCAGTCTTTTTCAGACCCTGGATGTCAGAAAATGAACTGTTTGAGTGGCGTGAATCCCAAAGATTTCGATATTTCTGGGTTAAGGTTCCAGTGTCTGTCCTTCCTCACATTCGTAGCCCTATTCGAAAACCTTTTTTTTTTTTCTTTTTTTTTTCTTTTTTTTCACTCACAAACTCATTGCCCCAGATCTGTGGAGCATTCGGTTTGATCTTGAATCTTCTGTCACCGTCTTGTATAAACGCAACTTGATAATTGCAATGAACACAAACTTTATCATGACAATGAGGGCGTTACTCTCGTGGTACCATTATCATGATGAACACCATCGCTAGGCAACACAGGCGATCTCAACCCTTCTGCCCTTCCAGTACTCAGGTCGAAAAGTGCATCCCGCACTTGGTAACAATCCTTATATATCTTTCTACTGTGTTTGAAAGCCACTATTCTAGCTATCTCACTTGTCATTTTACGAGCTTGGATATTTTCACAAAATAACGGAAGAAAAAACTGCCCAAAAAATACCAAAAAAATCTAAGCAAGAGATCCAAAAAATTTTAGGCCGCCGTCATTCAGCGAATTATCTGGAAGGGTCTTGTTTTCCTCTCCCCGAAGTAAATAGTGGGCCTCCCCACTGCCACTGCATTGCTTATCCTGCGTGTGTAAACTCGTTTCCCGAGCTTACTGTTATCTGACGACCGTCCACTGCTCCAGTAGATGGGAGTCTGCCTCGGATTTCGTAGGCCCAGCTGGTTTTTCAGAAGCCATTGGCTGGGTAGAGTTGGGATGTAGTCGCAGGGCTCAATCCCAGTCCCGGGTCAGTTCTTAATGTACCACGTCGCTATCTGAGGTGCCAGTTCATACCAGAACCCACCGCTCCTTTTCCACTTTCGTAATTTCAGCGATGAAAGCCTCTTTCAGAAGCCGTTTGGCTGGGTAGAGTCGGGATGTGGTCGTAGGGCCCGATCCCAGTCCCGGGTCAGTTCCTACTGTACCACTTCGCTAGCTGAAGTGCTAGTTCATACCAGAACCCACAGTTCCTTTTTCCCGCTTTCGTAATTCCAGCGATGAAGGCCTCAACTGGGTATCCCAGCCCCTTGATCTCCTTGCTCAGAGTAATTAGGCTGAGCCAAGGAGCCCATCTCGTGTTCTTGTTCTGCTTAATGCGCCAAATTGCCCCAGCTGCAACCCCTCATTTCTAGCCCTTATCTCCAAAGGAGTCGTAGTCCTTGATTGTCTTGAAATTTCTGGCACCCCCTCCCCGATAGAGTCCATATTTTTGAACCGGTGGGTCATGTGGACCCATGCCGGGAAATCAACAACGATGAGATTAGTCTCTAGGAAAGAAACAATCCTGCTGTCTGCATGTCCTTTCCAAGCTCAGGTCCCGGTGAAAGCAGCATTGGATCCTGTCCAGCCTTGCGCGGGCCTTCTCCTCTTCTCCCGGGACCAAGCCATCGTACCATGTGGCAAGTAGGAGATCATCCATAAACCGGTCGCCTTGCAGAAGTCGAGCTTCGTTGCAAAGCGACTTTAAGAAGAGGGACTCAGAGTACATATACAAAATATAGGCCAGGGCAGGGCTCGCCCTTCCCCCCATCGGAATACCAATTTTCTGCGTTAGGATTTCTCCTTTTGCTCAGAGGAACAGATGGTTTAGTTGGAAATCCGCCATGAGAAGAAGGTGTGAAAGTCTAATAGACCGTAAACCTTCATCTCCATGGGGTTTTTCAAAGGTTGCTTTATTACCTCTTGTCTTTACTATTACCCATCTGATACCTCGATTGTGGAAGGAGTCAACCAACCATTCGACAACTGTTAAAATTTCAACATGTGGGAGTTTGTAAACATTTCCTTAATGTCATATGTTCTCAGCATAATGTGACCATTCATCCCGAATTCCTTATGCGTTTTTTCGTTCATCCTTTCGATTCGCAATTTCAAGCCACTGGTGGTTGGTAAGTTGAAATCATCTTCTGTCAGGTTCTTCATTAAAAGATGCAAGGATTTACTGAGATAGCCAAACAGAGTTCTCGCAGGGTTGGAAAAGGTGGGGACAATAGGTCTCCGTTTCTCGAGGTTTTTATCATTTGCTATAACATAGGCATCTCGTAGTTTCCCTTCCCATCCCAGTTAGCAATTCGGTTCAATTTCTTTTCTTTGTAGTCGGACCTCTTATTAGCTAAAATTTATGTCTATGATTTTCCAACCTTTTCATAACTGTGGTTAAGATTAAACATATCCTCCATGCCTTTTAGGTATTTTGTTGGGCGTTCAATAATCGTTTCACCACTGTTTTTGCCTGCCGGGGAAAGTACCCGCCCATCCAGTGCTTTCTTGATCCCGTAAATATATTTGGTGTTGACCACCCCATCCTTCTCATCTTGCGAACCCCTGCTCAGTTGGTAGAGATGAATGCATATTCGTTCATGGGTGTGGATCAAGCCCGTTGCCTTCAGAGGAGCCACGACAGCGTTACAAACCTTGTTAATATCAATTTTGCCAGCCATTCCTCCAAGCATAGGGGAGTTTTTTTGAATCATAGAGGAAATACGGGATTTTATTGAGTTCACTGAGTCGAGTCCTGACATGCCCATCAACTTTGGGCAGGTCGAAGTTCCTGCAAGGGCAGACACCAAGCTGCTCCTTAGCGTACGACTTAAGATTGTGTAGGATGTCAGCGATAATGGGAGCCTTTTCCCGAACTACCGTGACCCGCTACCGTAGAATTCCACTCAGTGTTGTGTTCCCGATCCTTGTCGCAACCCAATCACTCAACACACTTTTATTTTTGATTTATTTACAGGTGGATTATATGGAATCTTCGCAGTGAGCCATACCCTTGGACTGACACCAAACTTCCTCTTTAGAGTTCGAGTGAAAATGTCACGTGTGATTTGTCTATCTCTTTGGGATGTCAAGGTCGTCACGGAAATTTCCATCTCCACCAGTTCATCGAGTGACTTCTTCATTAGCTTTCTTCTCCTCCATGGTGCACGGAGAAGTGCAATAACCTCGGCCTCTGTTCTTTCTTGCTTCCCTTTGGTTCCTTTTATATCCCAAAGGAGTCAGGCCCCACCATTTTGGATCATTTCCTCCTCATCTTTCAATAGCAGTCTTCTTCCACTAATTTCCAATTTTCCACAATACCGAAGGCAAACATCAATCTAATAAGCCTCCAAGCCTTTAGCCAGCAACATCCTTGATTATTTACAATCATCGTCCTTCTCTTCTTAGCTTTAATATACAGTTGTCTAATCAATGTCAGGAGGTCCGGTTCAGATTTAACATTCTCAAAGGGGAAGTTAAAGATCAAGGGTTCACCCAATTTGAAAGTAGGCTTCCTTTCTCGTCTAGTCTTAACCCTTGATCTCCTGGGTCTTTTTTCATCCTTCCATTCAGTCCCGGATTAATACTTTTTATAATGTCCTTCTCAATGGCTCGAATTTCAGCTTCACCACCCCCAAACCAAATAGGTATAAGCACACTACTAATTATTTTCCCCATACTTCCCTAGCAAGTTATGATTTTTTTGCTTGTTGTTTCCATAACTCGAATAAATATGTTCCTTTCATCTCTGTTTCAAGTTCCTCTTTGTCATCCCCACATAAGTTAGTCTGCACGAAGGTGAGATAATCAAGTAAACATAACAGCAAGCAGGACATTATAAAAAGTATTAATCCGGGACTGAATGGGGCTAAGCAGATCTCCTGGGTCTTTTTTCATCCTTCCATTCAGTCCCGGATTAACCACCCTATCCAACTCTTCGACATTCATTCGTTCCCATAACTTTTGGTACGGCAAGCCCCATTTGATCTTTCCTGGTAGACAACAGAAAAGTACAATTCAATCTTCGAATCTGCTTAGCAAGCTTCTCGTCGATGATCCTTCCATCACCAAGTCTTTGTATGCACCCCAACAGCCGGAGAAGAGCTTTCAGAGACCAGTTCTCTAGTTTCCCTGAATATCTTGGTATTTTCCATTGGAGATTATACCCTTGTCGGAGACCACAACCTTATCGTCATTCTCGTCCATCTCCCTCAAGCACCTCATGTACTCCTCCACGTCCAGTCGTGCAACCTCCATGACACCGAGCCCTTTCCTCGTGTATTTTATATTTCGTTCCTTACATAGAGTCATAATATGTGTGAAATGCTCGGAAGTATAGTTCTCAACCCGATTTTTCATATATGTTGTCAGACCCACCTCATCCTTATCCTCCACGAGCTCACTCTCATCATGGTGCTCACGACCTTCGTTTTTCGTTTTGCACTTGTCGTTCTCTTTTTGTATAGTCTTCTCCTTGATCGGTACGTCAATGTTTAAGGACATCCTCATCTGGCCCGAGTTCGTCACGAGTTGTTTGAGGAGGTTCTTTATCTTTGTGATATCCCCAATAAACCTCTCCTTGCCTTTCCCTTATGCCTCCTCAAATTTTCTCGTCAAATTAACCGTCCCTTTCCATATGAGCTCAGCACCATCGTCTTCTTCCTCATCTGAAAAGATGAGAACCCTTCTGGTCGGATCTTTTTTAGTCCTGTCCACCAATTTCACACGGATCTTGTCCACCCTAGCGGAGGTGACTGAAGTCGAAGGATGTTTTTTCCTCTTCTCGCTGCTCGAGCCCTCCTTCAGCTCTTGCAACTCCTTTTCAGCACCGAGGCGCTTGAGTTCCTCCTTCTCATCCTCTGCGAAATTGAACTTTTTATCCACTTCATCTAGCTTCTCGGTGAAAAGCTTCAACGAATCACCGAACGTTTTCGTGACCCACTTCTTCATCTCGTCTTCTTTATACTCTGTCTTTTTTTTGTCGATTCCAATGATCTTCAATCTCAGCTCAAAGTTGCGTGTCGGTACAGGTTTCCGCTCCGCCTGCTGTTTCGCTGCTTCTTGCATAGCTTCCTTGAATTTCAGTTTTTCTAAAAATAATGCTTGCTCCTTCGTAAAAAATGCACGGTTTGAATTTCCATTTCCCTGTCAATTTCCGTTGTTGTAGTCGTTGCCACTTATGTAGCACCGTGTTCGCATTCGGAGGCGAACGCAAACATGTTCGCCCGAACGCGAACAAGCTCCAAAAACCCTCCGAATGCGAACATAAAAAATATTTAAAAAAACAAAAAAACAGTTCTCAGAAAAATCGAAAAACACTATATGCTATGTAAACTAACAATACAAGCAACTTTTGCCTTGGAGTCATGTTCAAATTCGTAACCAATCATGAGTTAAAAATAAAAAACCCAAAAATATTTTTTTTTACAAAAAACAAATGGGAAAATTTGTGAAACGCCCCTAAAATTTCTGTTTATTTGCGATTTGCCCTCGCACGGCCGATTTTTTTTTAATTGCCCCTCGGACAACGACTCAAGTTTCCAGAAAAAACCCCGGCGTCACTTGGGCCTCGAATATGTTCAATATGCCCCTACCGGTACCGCTGCCAAATTTTCAATATGCCCCTACCTGTTGGTCGTTGAGGACCTGCACTAGAATTTGCTATATGCCTCTACCGGTACCATGCATCTTTCTTGTATGCCCCCACAGCCGTTGTTGGCAGTCGCGGCCGTTCCCCTGGCCGTGGGATGGGAGCTACCGGGGTATATCAGAAATTTGCTCACATTGGCATCTTTCTGTTGTGCCCTCCATCGGCCTCCATCGTTTTGCATGGGCTTGGGTCTGTCTGTGGCTGGGCATTTTGGGCATGTGCGCACCCCCACACCCCCGCCATATCATGCACATCATGCCGTCATGGTTCTGCTCTCTCTCTCTCTCTCTCTCTCTCTCTCTCTCTCTCTCTCTCTCTCTCTCTCTCTCTCTCTCTCTCTCTCTTTCTCTCTCTCTCTCTCTTCGTGGCTTTCATACACGCACACACCTTATGTTGCACAGGGCATGTTTCTGAGAGAGCTAGGGAAGGCACAGAGAGAGAGAGAGAGAGAGAGAGAGCTAAGTCTCCAACCCTGGGTGAGCCGCTACTTGGATCGATAGAATGAGCAAATCAAAAAGTGGCAGTGTATATTTCCACGTTTCAGCGGAAGATTCATTTCGTTTTTGCTC